GACTGGAACTAATTGGCTTGCTGCGAACCAATTAGTGCCCAGTCGACTTGTTGCGGGCCGACTGGAGGCCAATCAGCCCGCGGTGGGCCGACTAGGCTCAGTCAGCCTGCAGCGGGCCGATGGTGTATTATTTTTGAAAATAAAAATATCGGCGTAATATTTATGCAAATTAATTAAATAAATATATTATTTAATAAAAAATAGCAAACATGCGACGGCAGTGTGGGTGAGCAACTTTGCAAAGCATTGTTTTGGAAGGGCGGATAGGGGCCAGTCAACCGGCCCAAAATTCGGCCGGTCACCGCGCAGCCATAGGATCCCCACGGCCGTGGCCGTCTGATGCGTTTCCCATCATCCTTTGACTCTCCCTCTTCGCATATGAAAAAGGCAAGCACACAAAAAAAAATGGCAGCCACCCCTCCCTCTCCCCATGGCGATGGTGGCGTCGACGGTGTCGCTCGCAACCAAAAAGTTAGGGTAGCAAAACAAAAATGCTGGTTGTTCCAGCAAAAGTAGAAGACGGTGGTAGCAAAAAATTAGTCTGCCTCCAGCAAAAATCAACAGACAGTAGCAATTTTCTATTTGGTTCTAACAAAATCAAAAGAAGGTAGTAGCAAAAATTGAGGCAGGCTCCAACAAAATTTTTTACCTCGTCGGCTTTCCAGCAAAAAGAAATTTGGCCGCCGGTGGTAGCTTTCCCGCTCGCGGTTGCAACAAATTCATAGCCCGTCATCGCCAGTCACACTTCATCATTTCCTGGTTGTAGGAAAACCGGGCGCCGATGGTATCTTTCCTCGTTGCCCCTTGCAGCAAAAGTCGTGGCGCCGGCCACGCTGGCCTGGTAGTAGCAAAGCCGGTTGTTGATGGTAGTTTTCTCAGTTGCCCGTTGTAGCAAAAACCACGGCGCCGTCATAGTCGGGCACGCTTATTGTCGCTTTGTTGCAGCAACTTCGGCCACTGGTGGTAGCTTTCCTGGTGCCGGTTGCAGCGAATCACATCGCCAGTTGCAGTGTC